AGCTAAAGCTGTTTGGGGAATTAAGGAATATACCTTAACTTATAGGGGCCTTCATCTTATGATTTAAGGTATATTCCTTAATTAAGGGGTATTTGGGTTCTCTGGGTTTAAGGTTCCAAGGTACTGAAGGTTCACGGTGTGAGTCTTGCGGTCTGCTTTTTCGAGGTGCCGTTTCTTCCCGAGATGCCAGCAAGAAGAGGAGCTATGGGGCTTTCCCGCTTTGCTCCGAGTGACACGCATCCGTGGACAATGTCGTCGTTTATTGATCGTGTACAACCTTGCGAAGTTTTGCATTCACTCTGCTTTCGTTGCGTTGGGACTGTGCGGCCAGGACAACACGACGTTCGCTCTGGGTTGGGGCAAGGGGGGAAGGAGTCGGGGGCATGATAACTGTCCTCACCTGTGCCACGATTCAAGCCTCACCCTGATGTAGCTGCATGGACGGCATCACCGTCGCTGCCGTTGTTGCTGTCGTCGTCTCGTGCTCGTCGCGTTTTTGGCCGCGGTTGTTGTGGTTGTACCCGGAACGAGTTGCAAGCAGACCCTGCAACGATTTCAATGACTGGTAGCACAACCCTGGTAATTCTTTGCAAAAAGACTGTCAGCACCACATGGCAGTGATAGAGGTCCTGCTTCTAGCTGCCCACAAAGCATAGATCCTGTGATGTATAAATGCTACAGGACCACAGCCGCACGGCGTCGGCGGTATGGGAACGCCATCTTCTGTTGGGAGGAGCGACGGAACCGATTGACTCCCCAGCCCTAACAAATACTCTTCTCACTGCTCCCTTGTTGGCGAGGTTTCGTCCGTTTCACGTGGATGCAAGTTGTGGTTGTCAACTATTCTTCCAGCACGGTATCCGGCCGCAATTCAACGGGTTAAGGTTCCAACAGTTTCCAAGTTGAGATGGTTAAGCAGCTTGAAGCGTCCCATGCCAGACTGCCAAACACACTGCCGTGGCACTGTCAGCAGGACCTTGTCACCCCCAAGCAGCCTCATGAACGAAAACTCTTGATTTCGATCTCAAAGCGAGCCGAACCCCACACCACCGAGCATCTGCAGAAATCGCATCCTACAGGATGTTGCAAACGATGCTAGACACTTTTCAGACCATTTGCGCCGGAGTGCAGGAAGTGGAAGGTCTCACGGACGAAGCGACGCCGGAGCCTGGCAGCTTGAAAGCACAATGCATATTCAAGCAATACCCAAGGCTTACAATGTCAAATTGGTGTACGAATCGTAAGCTTACTATGAAACCCCAAATCCAAACACACGGTCGAGGACAGGACTTACAGATCCTTGCAGAACTCTGTGCGAATTCCCCCCGAGGTCCAGCCTCAAAGCCTCTTGCGGACGCCCAAAATTTAACTCGTCCTGGTTTTAGCATTTAGTTGCGGTTGATTCGGGTTAGGTTATGGGCTCAGGCTGTTTTGATTTTCTTGACTGCGTGGATGGGACTTGCAACCGTCATCCGCATAACGTCTGCGGCCCTTCTGTGATATGCAAGTCTGCTCCTCTTGCTTGCGTAAAGAACGTTTCTAGGTCAGTGTAGGTGCATCTGTTTTCGGTTCCGGAGCTGACCGGACCCTAAACCCTAAACCCGGCAATTCCGGCACTCCTTGGGGGTACTTCACTTCCCGACTCATGCCTGCTTAAATGTGACCGAGGTGATCCGGCGAGGACACGTGAAGTTCAGAGCTGCGGGTTTAATATAGGGGCCTTAATAATTTTGATTACCTATACTATTCCTAGGGTTTTTTAGTAAAGCTATAGTATAAGATGCCCCAAGAGCCCATTCCAATCATTAAGGCGCCTGTATTACAGGCTTTGGATGGGCGCAAACTGCAAAGTTTGGTACTCCTAGCTGCCTAGCTTCAGGATCGTGCAATCGACCTGAGAATCGATGATCTAAGATAATTCATGAGCTATCCTTCGGGCAGCCAGGGTCTTAAAGATCCTGTCGCTGTATTTTGCTTAAACCCCTAAGCCCTAAACCCTAAACCCAAAGCCCCTAAACCCTATACTTCCGCAGTAGCTATGCCCTTCATCTGGTGTAGGCCTTACTGGCACATAAGCATCAGTGTTTGGCAGTTTTTTAAGCTTCAGGTTTCTGGACTGCCGACCTACGGGCTTTTGGGTTAAGATTTTCGATGGCTTCCTGGCCAGGACCTTGACGACAGATGCCGAAGCCCTCCAGGCCGCCCTCGGCAGAGTCTAGAGCTCGATACTATAGGGGCCTTAATAATTAGAATAGGGTTTGGGGTATATGATACTATAGTCTATTAGTTATAATAAGGAACCCCCAAAACCCTATTCTAGTTATTAAGGCCCCTACATTACTACCACGACTATTGCGCTTAGATTGCAAAGGCGTCCTTCATGTGAGACGTAAGGATATGTAACGTTTATGGTGTACTTTGAGGGGTATACCTATGGGACTCTTTGGGTTCCTTGTGGCCTCCCTAACCACACTTCGAGGGATGTGGGGGATGTGTGTTTAGGTGATGGCAACTTAAACTTATGAGTGGTAAGGTTTAGGGTTTAGGGTAAGTCCCGGACGATTAGCAGTGGCAAGCTTGTGAAATCATTGGGACTCTCACTGCTTAGCAAGTCTGTCAACAGCGGCTTCAGCAGAGGATGATGACTTTAGGCTCGCACCAGGCACGACTAGATACTCGATGAGCTTCTCCTGTGCTTTCTATCATGCCGAAAGGCATCATACGAATGCTTCACTAACTAGTTAACTGGTACATACTGCAACAACGCAGATCTCTGATGCAGGCGCTGTTCTTGTGAACCCCAAAGCCTCAATCTAAAGTCTAGTGCGACAGTTCAGGCCTTTGACGACCTATTCAACGAAGGCCTGGGTTGAGAAAGCTCAAACCCGGACTGAAGGGTTTCCGGTTTAGGGTTTAGGGTTAGGGGTTTCAGTTTCGGCTCTGTTAGTGGCTGACGCAGCTTGAATGAAACGCCGGGAATTCAGGATCGTCTACGATGTCTCATCCTGATTGCTACGCAAAACCCTTACTAAACCCTAAACCC